CACCAATTTACCAGCTCGCGCGTGCAATGCGCAGCTACCTACCCCCCCCCCTAGATCATCGGTGAACGAAACTGCGGCAGCTACAACCAGTGTACGACGAGTAGGCGGTTCTTACAGCTGACAATGATGATGATGATGACTAGAGGGGTTGCTTTCCGTTGTCTGTACGACGAGCGTCGACTGCTAATCGACCGCCCAGATGTGATTCCAAGGGGCTCAGCCGACTGGCTTGAGCATTCACACGACCCGCGAGTATCACAACGTCAGTGCTTGTTGCTCGACGAATGAGCTCTGAAAGCTCGATAGGAAGTATCTTTCTCAGCATCAGAAATGCAGCCCGTTAGAGCATACGCCGATACTACAAACTAGGACCGTTCTTAGTGTCGAGGTCTTGAGCCTGATTGATCTGGATAGCCGGACGGCGCAAAGACAACTTCTCCCTTGTATCCAGTCCCGTAAGACGAAAATGACACTTCCTGGTCGGCCAGATTGAAGACGACGTCTTGTTGAGGTACCACACCTTGGGCGTCTGGCTCAAAAGTCTGACCCACAAAGCAGTGGGACTATGTAGGGTTTTGTTGGGAACCCTTTCTCTGGCCTATGACTCGAAAGTCAACAGCAAGGCGACTGGTAGTAGGGTTTTCTTCGGGGATCCTGCCCCAAGCCGACGATTCAATAGTCTGACCAACTCGGGTGCAGAGGGCTGCCCTAACCCAAGAGCGCAGAGAATAAGGCATTACTGACTCCTGACAAGGCTGCGCACAGCGGGTACCTTTTGAACAGCACTAGACTCTCTGGTTCAAAGTACTTTAACCGTATTGAATAACGCTATGGCGGTCAAGGTCAACCGTCGGGATATCGGGGTGTTGTTTTTCGCTCTGGTCTTTTCTAACCCGTCCTTCCTCGGGGGACAGCAGCATTGCTGCTTCCGTAAATATGGACATGCCAGACATCCGTGGGAAACACCATACTGCCGAGGATAGTAGGACTTTACACACAGACCACCTCGCGGTACGACTACTCGCCGCTCTTGATCTGGCTTCTCTCCTTTGGTATTCCTGACATTGTTGCACCTTGTGGAACGAACCTCCAACTAGTGTAGCCCGGAGGATCATTGCAACACTCCAGTCCGATCACCACTACAAGGTAGAACCTTTAGGTTCGTCTGAGTTCGTAGCACGCGTTATTCCCGATGACGCCACAACCACAGAATATGCACATTTCCTTATACGACGCGGTTACCAGATTTTTTAACTTTCCGCTTCGTGTAACTCAACTAGGTCCCACTGGTAGTGCACATTTAAACGCCATCAACCAGAAACATTGTACTGATCCCGAAACCTTTCTTGATGTGACACACCACTCATGGGGTTACCGAAAACTTTCCTTAAAGAGCAAATCAGTGCATTTCATCAACTTCGCACATATGGTGTCTCACAAAATCCGATATGGATGATAAGAAACTCACTGCATATTTCCTGCATTTCGTTGGCAAGTAGGCGTATACGTTGGTCAAAAATTTAGTACATCCTGAATCTCCAATGCGTATACGTTGATCAAAAATTTAGTATATCCTGAATCTCCAATCGATATTTCCTACAATGCATTGAAGAAAGTTCTTTAGCATTTCAGACCGATTAACTTCGCAGCAGCCGAAAGAGCTAGGTTCAATATGTTGACCTGCTCCCATTCTCAGTCGGTTCGTGATTTCGTATTGCAGCTGCAGAGACAGGCAGCCAAATGTGACAACGGTGCCCAACTATAAGACCAGCTGCGTGATAGGCTCATTGCTGGCATTCAACTGCCCGAATTACAGCAGAAATTGCTGCTGTTAGGATCAAAAATTTCAAACTATTCGGAAAATATGTGAGCAGTATGAAGATGTGAAGCATATAACGAAGACTGAGGAAGCAGTCTTGCTAAATTATTCTAAGAGAAATAATTCGATGATGCAGACGAACAATCAATTCAAACCTCGAACAAATTCTCGTGCCTCATATCCGTCACTTTACAGATCGTGGCTCTGTCATGAATATTCTTTGTGCTCACATTATCGTTTTGTATTAACCATGCTTTCGCCTTCATTTTCAGCTTATGTACGTCTATTCTTAGACAAGTAAAGCGCTATTCATTCTACGCCATTCATTCTTGTTCTCGCGCTCAATCAGAATCGATATTCTATTCGTAACAATTTACTTGTCTAAGAATACAATGGAACCGTTGCTGCGACCCAAGTGTTTCGACGCAGATCCTAATTCTCCAGACGCAACAACGCGTTGGAATCATTGGTTCCGAACCTTCCAAACGTTTCTGGGCACTGCCGAATCGCCCAATCTAAATAAAATCGAAACTCTGATCCAATTTGTGGATGCACCTGTATACGTTTATATCGCTGACTGTCCAGATTACGAATCAGCTATCAGTGCACTTGAAAAGTTGTACGTTCGTCCTAAGAATATAATTTATGCTCGCCATCTTCTACAAACTTGCAAACAAGACACCAGTCAAGATGTTGATCAGTTTGTTCAGAGGCTTAAATCCTTGGCCAAAAATTGTGATTTCAAGGCGGTGTCCGCCATTGACCATCAAAACGAAAGTGTACGCGATGCTCTAATCAACGGACTTCAGTCTACTACCATCAGAGAACGACTTCTAGCTCAAAACGAACTCACTCTCGATGAAGCTCATGAATTGGCCAGGTCATTAGAATTGGCCCACAAACAAGCTCAGTCATACTCACATAACCAGGCGATATCATTTTCTGCGGCTGCAGCACCTTTACAGACATCTACAGTTATCCCTTCACACTCAAACTCCCCTGATTCTACACCCTATCTCTCGTCAATCAGTTCTCAGATATGTTACTTTTGTGGTCGTTCCAGACATCCACGGTCAAAGTGCCCCGCAAGAGAAGCAGTTTGTAAATCATGTGGCAAAACAGGCCATTTTCAGCGTGTTTGTCGATCCAAATCTGTAAAGTGTCACTCAAATTGCACAACGGATTCGGCCTTATCTTCCCTGTTGACTGCTGCGGCCCCGAACTGCTTGTCTCGCACGGTGACCAGCATAAAGGTGAACGGGATATCGCTTCAGGCCCTCATAGACACAGGAAGTTCGAGCAGTTACATATCTCCTTTGGTGGTTGGTAAACATGGCTGGAAGGTATATGCTAACAATTCTGTGATTACCATGGCATCTACCTCTCTGACGTGTTCAACTAGAGGCTACTGCTACGCATCCATCGATTACAGGGGCACCGTTTACAAAAAGATCAAACTATTGGTATTACCCAATCTATGTGCTGACCTGCTGCTAGGCCATGACTTCCTTGGTCTACATAACAAAGTTGAAATCACATTCGGTGGGGACCGAGGTCCATTCACCCTCTGCGGTCTACCTGCTGCTGCGGTCGAGTCACCTCCTCTTTTTGCTAACCTCTCACCCGACTGCAAGCCTGTTGCTACAAAATCGCGACGTTATAATCCGGACGATGAACAATTTATCCGCTGTGAAGTTAATCGACTATTGGATGAAGGTATAATCGAACCTTCGAGTTCTCCATGGAGGGCTCAAGTACTGGTCACGAAAAATTCAAACCACAAAAGACGCATGGTAGTGGACTACAGTCAAACCATTAATCGGTTCACATACCTAGACGCGTATCCGTTACCGCGACTGGATAAAATGATCGAAGAAATTTCCCGTCATACTGTCTTTAGCACCTTAGACCTATTGAGTGCTTACCATCAAGTTCCAATCAGTGAGCAAGATAAACCGTATACGGCTTTTGAAGCATGCGGAGAGCTGTTTCAGTTCCGTCGTATTCCTTTCGGTGTAACCAACGGAGTAGCATGTTTTCAACGTACTATTGACCAAATAATCAAGTCTGAGAACCTAAGTAGCACCTACGCTTACATCGACAACGTCACTATTTGTGGGACTACCCAAAGTGAGCATGACCAGAACCTCAAATCTTTCTTTGAAGTAATAAGAAAATATGGAATTACCCTTAACTGTAAGAAAAGCATCATAGCAGCCAAACAAATACGCCTTCTGGGCTACGAAGTCTCTAAAGGAATTATCAAACCAGATCCTGAACGAATGAAACCTATTCGTGAACTCCCTCATCCACATGACGCTAAATCCCAACAACGTGTTGTTGGTATGTTTGCTTATTATTCGCAATGGATACCATGCTTCTCTGACAAAATCAGTGTGCTTGTCAGAAATAAGACTTTCCCCTTACCGGAGCGTGTGCAACAGTCTTTCAAAAATTTAAAGAAGGAGTTAGAGAACGCCATGGTTGTGACAGTCGACTACAACGCACCATTGGTTGTCGAGACTGACGCCTCAGACATAGCCATTGCTGCATCTCTGACTCAGAACGGCCAACCGGTGGCCTTCTTTTCTAGAACACTGACACCGAGCGAAAAGAATCACTCTGCTATTGAGAAGGAGGCATACGCCATCGTTGAATCTATCCGTAAATGGAAGCATTATCTCTTCGGGAAGCACTTCAAGCTTATCACTGACCAGCGGTCAGTTTCCTTTATGTATGGTTCCTCGCAAAAAAGTAAGATAAAAAATGATAAAATTCAGCGATGGAAAATGGAACTTTCCGCTTTTAGCTACGATGTGAGCTACAGACCTGGAAAAGACAATCTGGTTGCTGACACCTTATCGCGTAACCTATGCGCCAATGTGATCGGCAATGATAAATTAAAAGAAATTCACGATTCCTTGTGCCATCCTGGAATCACTCGAATGCACCACTTTGTTCTTTCCAAAAACCTGCCGTTCTCTCTCCAAGATGTCAAGGACATCACCACAAAGTGTACGGTTTGCGCCGCCATCAAACCGCAGTTTTACAAACCACCCCCCGCTACGCTCATCAAAGCGACCCAACCATTTGAACGAATTAGCATCGATTTTAAAGGACCTCTACCTTCTGTTACTCGAAACCGGTATCTCCTTACCATCGTTGACGAGTTTTCTCGTTTTCCGTTTGCCTTTCCCTGCGTAGATACATGTGCGTCTACAGTTATTAAATGTCTGTGTGAGTTATTCTCTTTGTTTGGCATGCCTGCATATGTACATTCGGATCGTGGCTCGTCATTCATATCTGACGAACTGTCCACATTCCTACATGACAGGGGAGTTTGCACCAGCCGAACAACTTCTTATAATCCCCAGGGGAACGGGCAAGTCGAACGCCTCAACGGAACACTCTGGAACGCAATCCAGCTTAGACTCAAGACGAAAGGCCTCCAAATCTGTCACTGGGAGTCGGCTCTACCGGATGCCCTCCACTCTATACGGTCCCTT